AATGTTCTCGAACAAATTCCCTCCAGTGATTTTTCGTTTGAAGTGATCCATTTCTGTTAATTCGTGAGTAATTTTTGCAGTTAGCATGGTCACTGATACCGTCAGGAACGATTACAGTGCTGAAATTGAATAGCAATGGTAACATCCTATCAAATGCGACCATTTATACAGCAATCGAAAGTGATGGCGAACAACCGTTATGGATACAGCAATTTGCAGATCTTGAAATTGTTTTGCTCTCTGACATAATGGCGAATGTTCTGGTCACATCAAAAGATCCACCAAAAAACGAGGTACGTCACGAAGACATCCAAAACTTTTCATTCAAGATGTAGTGGTTAGTAGAATGGTTATTGTCTCAAAGCTGTTACTAGCGATTTCTCGGCACATAATTCAGATGCTGCAGATACACAGATACTCGAGAATGAATCCGGTTGTTCGCATCGAATCGAAATTCTTATCGAAATTTGGACTAGCGATAAAGCATTCACTTAGAAAAATAAGTATAATTGCTAGGTATCAATAATTTACCTAAACGGATAGATGATGTGTCACAGACGGTTGGTGCATGACAATGACACTTATGGAACAGCCGTAACTCTCCGGAACGGATTCCGGTCATTTGAGATGTTCTGATCGATTTATGCTGTGTACTCATCAATTATTTTTGCGTGTGTCGATTTATATCTTGAAAACATTGTCACATATTGTCACTGTATATCAATTTGAAAGGAGAGATATCATTTGTAGCCAAACGAATCGGAATTGGATGAGATATCAGATGAAATGGTGCAGCGTTTGAATGCTTCAATAATGCGCAATTTGGATGACATGACAACATTTGTTCACGAAACTCATCCATCGGTAACGTTGCTGTTTAGCGGTGGTGTTGATAGTCTTTTGTTGGCTCATCTATTGCACAAATGTATCGATCCATCGATGTGCATTGATCTTATCAATGTTTCTTTTGATCAGAATTCGAAGGTGAGTTTTCAATTTTGCTTTTTTGACTGATATTTTCTTGATTTCCTTTCGTCCCAAGTTAACTGATTAATATCAATCTTCGACTGTTTCAATATCAGAGATGATTGATTTATTTCATGTGATGAGTCCTTCTCACGAGTTCAAGTGGGTACGGAAGCGTGACAGTTGCATTCTATTAATCGCGAACAATATTCTTCAGGATTTCAGCGGTGCACCGGATCGAGTGCGTGGTATTGAAGCGTATGAACATCTGCGAGAGTGCTATCCAAGCAGAGAATTTCGTTTGATTCTTGTTAACGTTGACCGTGATGAACTGGCGGATTGTCGTCGCAGACATATCGCACGTTTGGTGAGACCATCAGAAACAGTTCTGGATGACTCAATTGCGTGCGTTCTGTGGTTTGCGGCCAGAGCTGAGGGTGTGCTCTATGCGAACACAACAATGCCACCAGAATCACTGAAACACAGCAGTAATTCTCAAGTAGACAGGGTCAAGTAGGTTGGCAATACAAACCATTCTGTGTGATTGTTTGGCTTTGATGAATTGTGCTGAGTCAGTGCAACGCAATCGTTCAACTACTGATAATGAGAGTAGGCTTGAAATTGAAAATGATCATAGTGATAAGAGCGATATGATGAATATAATGACGGTGATAATTGAAGAAGTGAATCAAAAGTGGTAATAGTTGGAAGTGGAGCGGATGAGTTATTTGGTGGCTATTCAAGACATCGTGGTTGTTATGAGAATGCCGGTAGATTAGCGGCTATCGATGAGATGCAACGGGAATTGATTCGTATTGGTGAGAGGAATCTGGGTCGAGATGATCGCATCATCTCGGCACATTCAAAAGATGTTCGGTTCGTTTCGGAGTTTCTCTCCTCTTTAATTTCATCTCTGTCACACATTGTTAAAGTTGCTTTCACATTTTTGCTGTGTATCGTTCCAAAAATCCAAAAATTTTGAGTTGACTGAGTGAAGCATTCATGAACTGAGATGAATGCAAGCGAATGCGACAGACTTTCAGCTTTCGAATTACTCTTCTGCTCAATTTTTAAGAGCACCGTATTTGGACGATCTTTTTGTTGAATGGGTGAATTGTTTACCGTTGGAGCTAAAGAGCGATTTCACGAAGATACGTGGTGTTGGCGAAAAAGCTCTTATTCGTCGAGCTCTAAAAGTTAGTGTTATTTGCCTAATATTGAGAAGTAGTTTTTGAAAGAGGAGCAGCAACAATCTGAAACGAATGCATTAAAGGAGTTAGTGCCGTAACGCTTGACTGTAAGTGTTGACAAGTTTGTGACGAGAAACGATCTCATCAGAACACTTTAGCATTTTGGTGCACCTCGAACATTGTTCGCAGCGCCGAAGCGTGCGATGCAGTTCGGAACAAGGATCGCAAAATTGGAAGAACGGAAAGAGAAAGGTTCTGATCGATGCAGTCGTCTCGTTGTGAACGATTCAGATGCGATACTCGTTGGAAACATTGCAAATACCAATTAAAGTTTTATTGTGTTGTTTGTACTATTGTTGACGTGTTCTTGTATATATTTATATTAACACTGTTGGAGAGACAGAAGTGAATTGAAAATTAATTTGTTTATTTGCAAGTTTAATTTGTGAATGTCAGTTTTTTGAAGAATCGCTCGCGAATCCACACTAACGCATTTTGCAATTCCAAAAACGACGAATTGTGAAGATAGGAAGAGGTGAAAGTAACTCCTCACTGCCTTCGTCATTTATTGGTTGATCATTCCTTCAGCAACATACCAACTGAATCAATTCATTATCCTCTTCCGTTCGTCTGAGCCTCAACTCAAAACACCAACATACAACAACGAATGCAAATCGCTAACAAGCCATGCACGCCAACAAAATAACAAACAGTCTGGAATGAATATGAAAGAGTTTGCGTTGATGGTGAAAACAGCACAAGCTGTTCCATATACATCCCAAATGGATGAACCGACTTCTGTGATTAAACGGCACTTATACAGATGTGCATCATTCAATCGTTGATCTCGTTACTAGTTCAAACTGCGTAAAAAATGAATGATATCCTTGATTTGAAACAAGTGGTCGCAGAAATTAAACAACCACATATTAACACAGTTGATCAAGCCAAAAATCAATCAAAACGCCCAATGTCAATTGCATTGAATCAATTGAGCAAGCACCAGTGATCACAATATAGTTCGTTGAGTTGACAAAAATGAATTTTTAGAATGTGGATCTGAGCGTGTCAGAATGGATAATCCACATCCTCACTGTATCGATACAACTCACACTCACTTTATATTCTCCTGGTTCCCATATATCACGAAGTTTGTCACCGTTGGAGTTAAGTGATCGCAGATTCACGCAGCTAATAGCGTATAATTTGTTAGCAAATCTCCTCGTGATCAGGGCTTCTCCTGCTGTATTTACAATTGACAAAACAACATCTGCGTAGATATATTTGATTACTTCATGTTCATAGATACTATTTCTATGATTACTTCTACAGTGCTTCTTATTGTTAGATGAATAGTGCCTGCTACCAGGAACGATGAATGCGATGATGCCAAAAAGACTTTTGGACAATCGACAATTACTTGTGGGTGGTAGCAGTCGTGAACCTTTCAGCCTCAAAAATCGCGTAACGGTGCAATCAGATTTATGTAAATCGACTTATTGCAAATCTGCGATCGCGACATCACGGCCCCTTCATAGATTTCAATGCTCAGCTATGCCCTCACACGAACTCATTTATCGGCACGAATAGCTGGAAGTATCATGCGAATGAGCAGAGTGATCATTCAGTTTTGCTTGAGGTGGTAGAAAATGTTGAAGTGACCAACAAAACATTTATTTAATCCATGAACAGTGCACAGTGAAACAATAGAGTTGTGAGGGAAGGAGAACAACAAA